GGAGTTTAGGTTTTGTTTTGGATTTATGAATCTTTATGAAAGACTCTTCCAAGATTATTTATGATGAGCTTCCGCTTAATGAGTTATGTATGCATGGGTGGTGTCACTAATTAGGTTAAAGAAAAATCAAGGGCGTTAAACTAGTTCTATTGGGTGTCCGGCCTAAGGAGCTCCAAGAGTATGCTCGCCTGACAATGAAAGTGGCCCAGCGGTGTGCGAACTGACTGGTGAGCCCATACTCGCATGTATAAGCTATGTATAGAGTATATGGTACACGTCCAAATTACCCATTAGGACAGTATCGTAGGTAAATAGATTGAAAGGATAGGTCCAATCATTGCATTCGCATGTTCTTGCATTTAACCCCAATAGTAGAGTCACTTACTGAGTATTTTTTTAAATACTCAATCCATGTGCTACTACATTTTTCAGGTCAAGGCAAGGCATTCCTGTACGGCTAACGATGGCATCGCAACTCGAGACCATGGCACATGCATAGGATAGTGGTATTTATTTTCTTAAACTTAGGCTAGAATAGGATGTTTTTAACTTAAACGCTTATTTATTTTATTTAGTTTTTTCTTGTGTCGTTTTAAAGATGTTTTGGAAACACATAAGTTCTGTTAGGATTGATACCCGTTGTTAGCTCTGATACCAACCGTTAGGATCGCTCAACAACGCACACACTCGATCAAGATGAACACAAAGAAAAAGAGAGAGAAAATACAAGGATTAATATTGGCTAAAGGTTTTATGATTGATGATGTAAGGTATGTACAACAATAGAAAATACAGAGAATGAAGAGAAGTAGGTTTTGAGAGCACTGCCGTGGTAATATATGGTTTCAATTTACTAAATATAGCTTCCAAAGATTTAAACCTACAACATATAATCTAACAAATATATGTCTATCAAATCATATCTTTACGAAATATCTTCCAAATATATCTGTACCAGATTTGCATGAGGCTCCATATCCCAACAAGTCCATGATTGTATTTTAAGATAAAGGTTATGTTTTATGGAATTTTAATGAAGTCTTCCGCATTTAATGTTTACGGCACGTATAAAGTAGTGACCTTAAATTAAGTAAAAAATTTCGAGTGAAGACTTACTGTATTTGATTTGTGGCCAAGCTAGAGTTTGAGAATTTGAGAACTTTTCTCTTACAACACAAACCTAAAGTAGTCGTCTTCTCTTTCCTTATTCAATCATGAAAGTTCCTAAATCGAACTTCCTACTTTATATATCCTTTATATATAAATTATATAGCCTATCGGAACTAATTAGTTTGAAGATATAATATAAGTTTTAAAATTTTGAAAATCAAATTTGATTACAATTGAACCTTTTAACCTCAAAAAAGATAACGAACATTTTTATTCATAAAATTATTTATTGAAATTGAATGAAAGTCAAAGTGCATCATTTCCAATGATACATTAACTTGAATATATTGAGAGATCCAAAATACAAGTAAATACCTTCCTCTCGACCTGCCCAAATGCAATTACTATCATCACACTGATCATTAAACCAAGACCCTTTTACTGGCCAAAAAACATTTCCATTAACTTGTCCATAGTTGCTGCTAAAATGGCACCAAAACAACGTAGAAGTCCAAAAATTTTCTTTAAAACTCCAGTTGTAATTATCTCCAGTGCGGAGTACGTGCTCGCCCAGATCGTCATTTGCTGACTTGCAATGAACAATTAAAGTTGAAGCAGTCATCCCATTTAAAATAGTCACTTTCCATCGAGAGAACGGTAATTGTAACTTAGATTCTGCAAAACAAAGCTTCATCACATTGTTCGATGCGAAGGTAACCAACACGATTAAATAGAATATGCTTAGAGACTTCATTTTCTTCTGAAAGATAGTTCACCCTTTTTTTACAAACTTAATTGGATTCTATCTTTTATATATACATAAATATAGCCAAAATGAGTGGTACTTAGTTATATTAAAACACAATTAGTTAAAAGTGTGGTGTAAATTTTGTTTATTACAACATATCTTCCATAACAGGCCATATCAGGGTGCGACAATCACCTAAACTTTCTTAATTTTCTCAGTACTCGTCCCCTATTAGCTTTTGTAACTGATTTTTTATTTTATTAATTCCTTTTAGGTAAAGTTTAAAGCTGGACCATTCATTATTTAGAATCGGGTTCACTTTTAAAATGAAAAAGAAATTAAGAAAATAATGATAAAAGATGGTTAAATAATTTAAAATAAAGTTTTCTGGCCTCGAATATTATGTCACTACTAAAATTATATATTATTTAAATACATATATAACCAAAATATTATCCCAAAATATTATTATAGTCATTATATAGATTTATTGGTAAAAATTTTAAAAATATGTTTCTCTACGATTAAACTATAAAAGTAAGGTTGAGAATTAGAAATTTTAAAAGTTACCTAAAGAAAAGTTAGAAATTTTAAAAGTTACCTAAAGAAAAGTTTTGTTTTAGATATTTTTAAAACTTGAGAGATTAATGCTAAAATCATTTACGGCTTCTAATCTTGAACAACATTCTAGTTCCCCTTGGTGCATGGGTTATAGAACTGAAATCTCATGAGTCCAGTCGTCTAAGCTTGGATTCGAGCCAATCAGGATATGTACTTTTCTACTCCAATTGGATTAATCTTTTATTAATTTACTAATTTTAGTTTCTGTTATATATATTTTAAATTTCTCATACCTCAATATTTTACACTATTTTTAAACTATTCATTCACTTTATACTATTTTTAAATACATATATTATAATATGAATGAGTTTCTTTTTAAATTTTAATAATATATTTTATTGAATACGATTTATACATGCATTTAGGTTACTTTAAAACAAAAGTATATAATGTTCAATATTCATAGAATATACATATATTTGAAAGTATATAATGCTCCGTGTTCATCTTCCCTCTCTTCAAAATGATTCGTCCTCGAATCAGGAAAATTATCACCTACATCAAAAGGAGTCAAGTCATTAACATTGAAAATAGAACGTACTGAAAATTCTCCGAGAAGATTAATTTTATAGGCATTTTTATTAATTCTTTTAAGAACTTGATAAGGGTCATCCCCCTTTGATGTAACTTGGTCTTTCTTTGAGATGTGAATCGCTCTTTGTGAAAATGTATCCAAAACCAATCATCGGTCGAAAAATAATTTTCTTCCGTTCTTTGTTAATTCCTGAAGCAACCCTTCACCTCTTTGTGCAATACTTTGATCAATTTGCCTTACTTGTGGCTGGTTCACTCACAAAAAATATTAGAAGGAATAGGAAACAAATCAAGAAGCGTTAGTGGAATAAATTCATAAACAACTTCAAAAGGAGAACAATGAGTGGTACTATGAATTGCTCTCTCTACAAATGACAAACTTACGTCTCAAAACTTAATATTCTTAGAATTAATATCCCGTCAGTCTATTAGTTTGAGGATGACATGTAGTTGAAAACAACAACTTGGTACCCAACGTACCCTACAATACATTCCAAAAGTGACTTAAAAGTTTAACATCCCTCTTTCTAACAATTATTCTTGGGTTTCCATGTAATCTTACTACTTCCCTAGAGAATAAGCCAGCAACATGCTTTGCATCATCCCCAAACAATTATTCTTGACTACAAAACTTGTGAACATCGTGCTTCATCTTCGGTCAAAAGAAGCGTTCATGCAACATATTATAAGTTTTATTAATCCCAAAATGTCCCATTAAGCCACCACCAAATTAGACTAGCTCCAAAGATAAACTAATAACCGTTGCTAAACCTATCAAGTAAGTGACTCTATTATTTGCTTGGTTGGATGAATTGTATTGCGTATTATAACGCATACGTGTGTCCCTTGAGCATGTCATAATTATGATTGTTATGCTATCCAATGTTGTGTTATGTCATGTTTATAAGCTAGACTATAGTGTGACTATACTATGTTATAATAATATGTTATTATGATGATAATCTATGATGTGTTATGATGTGTATATGAAAGATTTGGTAAGAATTATGTCTGCATAATTACATTATAAATGGAATGGAGGTTTGACTTGCATTTTAAAATTTATGTCATTATTTTAAGGCATGGGGACCTCATGAATTTTTTTGTGTCATATGCATCGTGATACTTTTCTATTATGATTAGTACAAATGTGTACTTTACGACTTACGACAATTATGTTCGTCACGATGTTACGCAGGCCCTTTCCCTCCATGGTGTCTGAAAGCACATTAGCGAGTGTTAGTCCATTGAGACAGGCCTTGGCAATACATGAGCCCTTAGGTGGGCCCTTGTGCTCGTGGTTCGATCGTGCGTAGGAAAGTACTATACATCCAACCTTGCCAGAAATAGAAAGCTACCTAAGGCAATGCCATTAGAACCTATCATGTCACATGTGTTTGTATTTCTAGACACTAAATGTGCAGTTACTTACTACGTATTTCTTAAACTACTTAAACTACATCATACTCTTATTTTTTAGGTAAAGGTTAGGCACCAAGGTACGAATGGCAACGCCGTGACGAAAGCCATGGAACTAGAGGTAGGGTAGACACAATATATGTCTATTCAGTAGTCCTTAGGTTAGTTCACGTCAATGTTTTATTTTTTCATTATTTTATCCAAACTTCACATGATTTATTTTTCGCATTATTGTTTTGAAGATTTTATTAGGAACGTGGGAGCCCATGACACCTTTTATGAAATATTTTATATGAATATTTTGCATACACATTAATCATATCATGTATATAGTAACAACTTTATTGTAGTATGTCAGTGATCATGTCCAGCTCGATTTTTCACAGAATTTGAGCTAAAAATTTCTAAAATTCTTCTGGTTGGACATAATTTCCCATTAAAATTAGGTTTATATTGAAATCAAGAAAAATACAGACAAATAAAGGTCAAATGAATGGAAAAAGAAGTATCATACGTTGGTTATGGACCAACATGTGCACAAAGGGGTCATATGCACAAATATCATGTATGACAACATAGGCGCAGAGGCGGTCGCATGCGCAAAGGTGGTATGAATCTCAAACTGGGTCAGGTGTATAGGGTGCGAGTCACGATTTGAGTCGGACACAGACAATCGAGTCTGAAATTTGTAACTTGTGTATCCACTAGATGCTTGACGTCTACCTTTCTCTTTTTGCAAAGGGTCACCCAAAAGTATACTTAACCAACTTCTCATGTTTTGTGAAAAATTAAAGAAAAATAGAATTTGATCCTTAACTTTAATTTCAATCTCCAATAAAATATTCAATCAAAACTATATTGAACCAACTTTTTCATGTTTTAAGAATTATTACATAAACTATACCCTCATTTCATTAAATGAGATTGAAAGTTTTAAAGAAAAAAAAAGAAATAATTGAGGGTTCAAGTTTAACTCTACAAAATAGTAACGGCGATAATTTCAACGCTCGCTGGCCACGACTTTCTATGAATTCTAACCTTACCACTCAGATTAATCTCTCTTTTTTTTTTTTTTTTTTTTTTTTTTTTTTTTTTTTTTTTTTTTTTTTTTTTTNTGGTGGCATTATTTCACATTGGGTAAAACTTTTATTTTCCTCTTTTTAATGTTTCATACATTTGTGAAAAATAATCATAATATCATGTTAACTATCCTTTCATTTTCCTCTAAACTCCAACATTTTGGATTCTTAACGGTGAGAACATGGCTCAAGATCCATATTCTAGTCCTCATCCTTAATTCTTTGTTCTTGTTCTTGTCCTTGTCCATTCTTGTTCATGGTTCTTGATCTTAGTTCTTGTTCTTATTTCTTGTTCTTGCTTTTTATTGTGTTTTTTAAAACACTCCCCCTAAGATTTACGATACAAGACATGAACCTGAAAACTTGTATCCAAGACTTCGTGCATTCAAGCAACACAGTCTTAACTTACGTCCAAGGCTTCAAATGTTTCAAGAGACACAGTCTAAACATGTATCAAGGGCTTAATGAATTCTTTGCGACACAATCTGAAACCTACACCAAATGATTATTATGTTCCATGTTGTGTAATCTGAAACCTACGTCTAAGGCTTCATATGTTTCAAGTGACGTTGTCTAGATACCTATCCTCAAGGCTTCTACATTCCAAACGACATAGTTTGAATGCTTATGCTTAAGGCTTCATATATTCCAAGTGGCGTACTTTGAAACTTGCATCGAAGACTTCTTACACTCCAAGCGATGTAGTTTGAGTCATGGTTTACCATGAGAAAAATAAGGGTTTCTTTTGTTTCAGAGTCTTAGAACCTTGGTTCTTTGTTCTTAGCATTCTTTGTGCTTTGACATTGTTTTGGTGTGTGATAAGCTTACTTAATACATGTTTTTAAGGTGGTCTCCTAATTACTTAAAAGTCAAGGTCTCAGGAGGAGCTCATTCTAATTTAGGAAACCATCCAAATTACTTATTAATCATAAGATAGTAACCACTTTGCTTAAAGGCTCATTCTAAAGTTTATCAATAGATAGTAACTTAATTGCTTAATAAAGTGCTAACTTTAAGCTCCTATTGGGTTAAGG